CACCGTAGAATGTGGTGTAGTGGTGGTTGTTGATCCATACAACCTAAACATAAAACATTAAAAACAGATATATAAAAATATGAACAATAATGCTAGTCAAATGACCAGCACATAATATATTATTTCAGAAAAAACTCAAGTAGAGATTTTTACTAATGATTGAGAACATATTATCATCTAACCATTGATACCAGTGTAACTTAAATGCTCTATATTTGTTAAACTTCATTAACTCCTCATTATCTGCATACGTACATCTTTCCATAATCCGATGACCCTTAACAATAATTTGACCCCAATTTTAGTAAAAATGACTGACAAGATTTCGTTAGAAAAGGGTGAAGCAGGTTCAAGTGGCACAACGTCTGGTTCTTATAATTGATTTTCTCCAATTTCATACAGTGCCTGATGGAGTAGGTTATCTAATTCCAAACCTACTCATGAATAAATGATGCTTTAAATAGCAGTGCAGACTTTTTATCTTCCTTATAAGACTACATTTCTTAAGGAATTCTTGTCACTGATATACACATACATATAGATGAGGATATTAGTTTTAGAGTAGGTGGTACTTTTGTTCAATAAATATATAAAGAGGGGAAGGTATCTAGTGACTTGCAGAGTGCATGCATTGCTACTGTGTATAAAAGAAATGGGTACAAAAGAGTGCAAAAATTATAGGGAAATAAACTTGTTGAGTGCACCATGTAAAGTGTAGAGTTATTATGGAAAGAATTAAGGGTAAGATGGACAGCAGGATCACAGATGAACAAGGTTTCAAGAATAATATTTAGATACAGGTAAGACCCAGGTATATAAGTGAACACTATTTAGATATGGGTAAGGAAGGTACACAAATAACCTGCACATAGAAGAGAGGAGCTTACGACGACGTTTTGGTCTGACTTAGACCATTTACAAAGTCACTCTAACGAGTACGGCGTGGAAGGTGGTGGTTCTTAGAAAACAGACTATCAAGAGCAGGAACGAGAGCACCACGAAAAGTGGACAAGTCAGGAAGATTACGGGAGCGAGACTGACGAAAAGAATCAAAAGAGCTAATCAGGGCAATACCAGCACGAGGGGTAGGCGAAGTGGCGAAGGAAAGGCCAAAACCAAGAAGTTCAAGCTCATACTGAGAGAGTGAGACAGAAGACAAGTTAGTAACACAGTCAGTGAGGGAGAATTTAGATTAAGGGCTAGCTGAGATGAGACATTGAAGTTTATTCTGTAGTTTAGAAGAATGAATTTGTGTATTCAGGCGAGCAGTGTCAAAGGCAATGGTAGAGAGAAGGTTACAGAGATCTTGTGGTAGAGCCGCCAAGTAGAGCACGTTGATGCTGACAGAAAGTAAAGAAGGCATCTTCAACCTGAGACTTAGCAGAAAGAATTAGTTGTTGAAGTAGGAGACGGGCATGATCAGGAAAGGGAGTGCCCAGTGGGTTGGGTTTCAGGAAATGGGAGAAGGAAGGGGGCAGAACTTGTTCAGCAAGATAGTCACGTAGGAAGCGAAGCTGACTCTTACGATGCCGGGTAGCAATAAGAGCAGCCTCATAAGATCAAAAGAGGAGTTTAAAAGAGGGAAGAACATTAAAAAAGTTGGAAAGAATATGATGTTTAACTGCGGGGTCCATAAATAACAAAAACAGGCACAATACCGTAACTGGAACGATACACAAATAACTCGCACATAGAAGAGAGGAGCTTATGACGACACATCTGTGATCCTAAGTTCCTTCCAGCAGAAATTTCCACTCTTCATAATTCATTTTCCCATCTTGGCTACCCTTCCCATTTCACAGACTCTGCCCTCTCACGTGCTAAACGTAATTTCTTCTCTCCCAAACTCTCTACTCCTGGGAACTCTTCTGTCCTCTGCCTTCCTTACATTTCCGGTCTTTCTAATCTCAACAATTCTCTCCGTTCCTTAGACATCAAGCTTACTTTCCGCCAGACTAACACTCTTCGCACTAATCTCATTCATACCTCTCCTTCCTCTACAGATGTTTCTGGTGTCTACTCTATTTCTTGCTCCTCCTGTCCTCTTCAATACTTTGGAGAAACGGGCCCATCTCTTTCTGACGGACTTAGGGAGCACAAAAATTGTGTTAGGCTTGCCGACACTAACAATGGTCTTTTCTGTCATGTCAGAGATCACAGCCATCCTACTGACTGGTCTTCTGCTAAAACTGTCTTCCCTACTTCCAACTTTAACAGTCACCATCTGGTTGAATCCTCCCTAATACACAACTTTCCTTGTATGAATCTTAGTCCTGGCTTCGTCTCTGTAGATGCCTTCCTCTCCCACTACATTGTAAAATGCTCCAAACTTCAGAACACCCGTGACTTAACCTGATTCCTCCTTTTTTCTTCTTCTCCCTCTTTCCCTTTCCTCTTTCCTTTTTTCTCTTCTGGGTTGCCTTTCTTTCTTCTGTCTTGTGTTTCTGTTCCTTCATTATTTATTTCATAATTTCCCTTCCCCCCCACCTCTGTGTTCTCGCTCTCCCTCTGTGGGCACCTAGCTCCCTTGCAGTGCTCCCCTTTCTTTGTATTTGACTGGCTCCTCCTCCCTACTTCCTCATTTCTACATCCATCCCACATACTCTCCCACACTACTTACTACTACCACTACAACCACTACTACTACTACTACCACTACCACCACTACTATTACTACTACTACTACTACTACTACTACTACTACTACTACTACTACCACCACCTCTTCCTGCCTATATATACCCGTCCTGCTCTACTTCTCGTTAGTGTGACTTTGTAAATGGTCCAAGTCAGACCGAAACGTTGTCTTCTATGTGCGGGTTATTTGTGTATCATTCCAGTCACGGTATTGTGCTTTTTTTTGTTATTTATTGTGTAAGGAAGATTTTGTTTCATTTGTGGATTTTGATGAAACACATGGTAAGGTGGATAGGGGAGCAATGTGGCAGATGTTGCAAGTGTGTGGAATGGGTGGTAGGCTACATAAAGCAGTTAAGAGTTTTTATGAGGATGAAGAGGCTCAGGTTAGGGTATGTAGGAGAGAGGGAGATTATTTTCCAATAAAAGTAGGCCTTAGACAGGAATGCATGATGTCACCATGATTGTTAACCATCTTTATAGATGGGGTTGTAAAAAACATTGAATGCTAGTGTGCTGGGAAGAGGTGTGGGATGGAAAGATAAAAAATCATCTCATACAAAGTGGGAGTTGTCACAGTTGCTTTTTGCCAATGGACATGGTGCTTTGGTGAAATTCTGAAGGGAAGTTGGTGGATGAATTTGGGAAGGTACGTAAAAGACGGAAATTAAAAGTGAACACTGGAAAGAGCAAGGTGACGAGAGTAACAAAAAAATTAGGTAGTGAAATATTTAATATCAGACTGGAAGGAGGGAGAATGGAGGAAGTGAATGTGTTCAGATATTTGGGAGTGGACTTATTGGACATGTCAAATCAAAATCAAATCAAAATTTTTATTTCCATGTAAAGCTTACAATGTGTGGTTTGCATGTTATAAAATATTAATTACAAAGAAGGCGAGCCAATGAAGGGAACTATACAACTGATGAGGGGAAAAAGGTGGGTGGTGCACTGAGGCAACTGTGGAGACAAATAATATTATGCATGGGAACAAAAAAGGGGAATGTATGAGAGCACAGTGTTACCAACACTTTCATATAGGTGAAAAGCATGGATTGTGAATATTGCAGTGAAGAGGAAGCTGTAGGCAGTGGAGATATTGTATCTGAGGGGCAGTGTATCTGGAGTTTATCTGGAGTTTATCTGGAGAGAGTTCCGGGGGTCAACGCCCCCGCGGCCCGGTCTGTGACCAGGCCTCCTTAGGTCAGTGTCCCAGGATGCGACCCACACCAGTCGACTAACACCCAGGTACCCATTTTACTGATGGGGAACATAGACAACAGGTGGAAAGAAACACGTCCAATGTTTCTACTCTGGCTGGGAATCGAACCCAGGCCCTCACCGTGTGAAGCGAGAGCGTTAACCACCAGGCCACCAGAGCCTGTGTGAATATTATTCAGAGAATTAGAAGTTTAAAAATTAGGTTATGAAGTGTTATTAAAAGTATTATCTAGATGGCTGAAGAGGGCTTGTTGATGGGGTTTGGACGTTTAGAGAAGATGGTAAAAATTAGGATAACTTGGATGGTATATAAATCAGCAGTTGAGGGATGGTGGGGAAGGGGTCAACCAAGGAAGGTTGGAGGGAGGGGGCAAAGGAGGTTTTGTGTGCAAGAGGCTTGGACATCCAGCAGGCATGTGTAAAGGTGTTTGACATGAGTAGAGGTAAACGGTTTTTAGGAATGTGAGCAAGGTAACATTTTTGTGAAGGGATTCAGGGAAACCTGTACTTGTAGAATTTATAATTTGTTTTTAACTAAAAAAAATTATTTTACAAAGTAAAAGTATAATAAAGTGTCATTATATATTAAAAATATCTTAAATGATGGCAAAATATACAATACTGCAATGTTGTAGCTGCTACAAATTATCTATTTTTATAATGATAAAGAAAAATTTTAGTTATACAATTTAATTTTAAATATGGTAATCTAGAAGAGGGTATCAAAAATTTTACTGATGTTTAAGTCCAACCTGCAATCAGAATGAAATACAAAGTCGTCAAGTGCAATGGTTCCTTGATGATTGTTCTTGGACTTGCCCTGCAAAATAATTTGGAAGGCACCTTCATCGGGTAGCATTTCTTCAGTCAAGTGTGCTCTTTGCCACACACCTGACATTTGATTATCATTGCTTTGCATATCAAGTAGTGTCACTGTTGGCCCATAATCCTGGCTGCAATGAATTTGAAATCATAATTGAAATTTTTATTTACATAGGTATTAAAATAAAATGTGTTACTTCTACAAATACTGTATTGTAAATTACTTTTCTGTGGTGGTGTTCTGGTGACTTACTAGGCCACAACCGGCACATTTACGCTTCCACTATCTCTCTAAACCCCAATAAAAACTAGTCAAGTACCATTAGTTTGAGATGGCAAGTATTCTGAACTTATGATCAAATGAATCTAAGTAACCAAAAAAACTATAGAATCCATGAAATCTTAGAGAAATTTAAAAGGCAAAACATTACAAACACAATGAAAAAATAGCCCACATCAAAGTTATTTTCCACAATATTTACATCTATAGGTAGCCACAGAGTGATGCGAGCTGAACTAATTCAAACAACCTGAGGAATTATGTAATATTAGATATCCATATCAGTAATATCAGGGTGATTCATAAATAATTAGTTTATAATAGCTTCAAGTATCTTGCATGCATATACAGTAGTATATTATCAGGTCTCTCTCTTCTTCATTCAAGAAAGTACATTTCAAGAACTTTAAGCATTCTCTATAATTTAAATGCTTTAATGGCACTATGTAAAAGATCTCTGTACGCTTTCCAACTCTTCTAGCTCTTCTGCCTTGAATGGAATTCTGAGCACTGAATAGTGCTGTACCATCATTTGCAGGATGCTTAAAGGGCGAGTTGCCCTGATACCACACTTGGATCAAATGCTTAGGGACTGGAATTCTAATACAGCTGACCAAATTTATTCCAGAGTATCAGACCACCTCTCAACCAGAAAACCAAATCATTTTATAAGAATCAAAATTAATGTTCAGTCTCCAAAGCAGTAGATTCCAAATTTATGGTGCTTGACTGTAGGGACTCAGGATAACCAGTTAGCTGGACAAGAGTCCTGTGAATGGGAAGGGCAGTTTCTGCACTCTGAAAGAAGAGTGGAGATATTGCAGCTGGGGGATAATCTGAATGGTGATGCTGGCACCCTTCTGGCAAGATAGTAATTTAATGAATAATGGTGTATGTGTTTTCTTCCTTGGATCACCCTGCCTTGGCAGGAGATAGCCATTGAGGTAAAAAAGAAAAAAATATATTAATAATAATAATAATACTAATTGTACGTAGTAGGTTGGTAGACAGCAACCACCCAGGGAGGTACTACCGTCCTGCCAAGTAAGTGTCAAACGGAAACCTGTAATTGCTTTACATGATGGTAGGATTGCTGGTGTATTTTTTGTCTCATAAACATGCAAGATTTCAGGTACATCTTGCTACTTCTACTTACACTTAGGACTTAGGTTACACCACACATACATGTACAAGCATATATATACACACCCCTCTGGATTTTCTTCTATTTTCTTTCTAGTTCTTGTTCTTGTTTACTTCCTCTTATCTCCATGGGGAAGTGGAACAGAATTCTTCCTCCGTAAGCCATGCGTGTTGTAAGAGGTGACTAAAATACCGGGAGCAAGGGCCTAGTAACCCCTTCTCCTGTATAAATTACTAAATTTAAAAAGAGAAACTTTCGTTTTTCTTTTTGGGCCACCCTGCCTTGGTGGGATACGGCCGATGTGTTGAAAGAAAGAAAGAATAATAAAAAGGTTGATCCACACTTTTCCTTGATGGGTGTATAACTTTTCACAAAAACTTGAATGGATGTACAGTAACTTTGCATAAAATACCTGTTTACCATACGAGAAATCATGTATTCATAGTTAAAAGAATGAAGAAAAGCTTCTGGTATTGCTATATGAACCACTGAGGTAATTACTCGTAAATCTACACGCATGAACTTGGTGGCTCCCTACTAAATCACTGGGGCTGAAAGGGCTAAATAAATATTGTGAAGATCTAAGACCTAGTGTGGGTAAATATACATATGAAACCAAGTTTTTAGTTATATAGGTAGCATGAAAATATTAACTAATATAGCTGAACTTGAAAAGTTTAATATATTACCGCAGTATAACTGAGAGATTTCCAAAGCCAGAACCATACATGTTGTAGTAGAAGATAAAGCTACACTGAGGTCCTCCTTCCAGGTACTGACTCAGGAGCTGTGCCACCTGAACCTCACCCTCTGGCACATCCAAATACAGGAAATGACCCTCAGGATTCCACAGGGTATGATCAAAATTTGGGGCTACATCTGTCAGAGAGAACAATTTTTTGAGAAACAAATGTTGTACAGTAATAAGTTATCTGTAATTAAAATACATATAGATCTAATATAAATCTGTATTTTTCTTGGAAGCCATTGTATTTAATATGTAATAGAACACATTTTGAAATGATCTTTAATATAAGTTTACACTGGTCAACTATTTGCCATAAAGAACACAATACCTGCAAATTCTTGATGGACACTGTATCCAGTGGCCTTAGTGAGAACAGAAAGCATTTTATTTCTGTAAAGTTACTCTAACTGGTTCAGTGTTATTCACAAAGAAAATCAAAACATTTTGTCATAAAAAATGCAATGTTTCTCCCCTAAAAACTAAGCCCAAAAAACACCTTTCATCTTATATAGCCCGTATAACTGTGGTAGCAGTAGAGGTAAACTCCAGTGCATGCATGATAATGTACACTAGATGCTTTTTTTTTTTTAGAAAAACAAAGCCTTAAATTTGGATGAATCAAATTTAAAGGTGTTTTATATGACAGAAAATAATGTAAATGTTATTTAACAAGACAAACTCATAAAGCATAAACTAAAAGATGAATCAAGATATATTAATTTCTATTTGCAGAACTTATCATAAATGGAGGCTACATGGTTTGTAAGTTCTAACAGATCTGTACGGTATTACATAAATACAGTAAGATGATACAACTTTAAGCTTGCAAATTTATCATAAAAAAAGAATTACATAATTTCTGAGAATGATTATCCTCTGAAAAAATAAGTTTACCTGCTCAAACAATTAAAGGAATAGGAGTCGGCCTAGGAAAGGTTGGAGGGAGAGGGTAAAGGAGGTTTTGTGTGCGAGGGGCTTGGACTTCCAGCAGGCATGCGTGAGCGTGTTTGATAGGAGTGAATGGAGACAAATGGTTTTTAATACTTGACGTGCTGTTGGAGTGTGAGCAAAGTAACATTTATGAAGGGGTTCAGGGAAACTGGCAGGCCGGACTTGAGTCCTGGAGATGGGAAGTACAGTGCCTGCACTCTGAAGGAGGGGTGTTAATGTTGTAGTTTAAAAACTGTAGTGTAAAACACCCTTCTGGCAAGACAGTGATGGAGTGAATGATGGTGAAAGTTTTTCTTTTTCGGGCCACCCTGCCTTGGTGGGAATCGGCCAGTGTGATAATAAAAAAATAAAAAAGAGCAAGTAAATTTAAAATGCAACTGGGAAAACACATCAAATAGGGAAAACCTTCACAATCAGAGACATTCTTTCACCCATCAGGAGCACAAGACACAATATAGTAGCTATAAAGATAAAGATAAAGGTTTATTTCTTTGTAAAGGTTACAATGTGTAATTACAACTTTGGTTTGCTAAGTACAAAGAAAGCCACTATCATGCTGGGGCATTTCGGGCAGACTAATCCTAGTACATACGCAACAATTACTTAAAGCTAGACAAGATAATAGCAGTTAACTTTATTACAATCGCATATAATCTTAATACTAATGCGAAGTAGTCAAGGTGGAGGTTTATAAGAATAATAATCTTGAAGTTACACATAATAAAAACAATACAAATGTTTTACAATTAATGTTCAGGCAGTAATATTTCATGGATTGGCAGAAGTTTAAAAGTCTAGAGGTCATATAATATAACTAATTAGCAGTTGTTTTGGTTGATTTGGTTAGTAATGAGAGATAGGATGATTTTTGTAGCAAAGTCCTAAATTTATAAGTAGTCAGAGGATCCTTTACCAGTTCTGGTAGCGAGTTCCAGATCTTTGGGCCCTTTATGTGCATAGCATTTTTGCGTAGTGTGAGACTGACACGAGGGATGTTGAAGAGTGTCTTATGCCTTGTATTGTGACTGTGCATTCTGTTGTAACTGTCAAGTAGTAGTTTACATGGAGGATTTATAATGGAATTTAATGTTCTGTATATGTAGAAGCCACAATAATATGAGTGTAAGTCTCGTATATTTAGCAAGTTCAGACTTTTGAAAAGTGGTGGGGTGTGCTGTCTAGCACAGGAGCTGATAATCATCTGCACAGCAGCTTTTTGTTGGGTTATTAAAGGTTTAAGGTGGTTGGCTGTGTGTGTTAGGTGAGGTAAGGATATATTAAAGAGTGGTATAGGGTAAGGGGTGTCATTTGTGATACATAGTATCATATCTTGGAAAGGATGCATCCATCAGCATGGGTGACCTAATGACATTCCTAAATGCCAGTAAAAAGTACTTATACTCACTGGCAGGTACTTAACCCAGCCTGATTACAGTGGTACCCTGAGTTTCGAACAGCTCCCAACTCGAACAATTATGTAAGTGTATTATTTTAAGTGCTTTTGTAAGTGTATTTTTAGGGGTCTGAAATGGACTAATCTAATTTACATTATTCCTTATGGGAACAAATTCATTCGGTAACAACACTCGAGCAGCCTTCTGAAACGAATTATGGCCGAAACTCGGGGTACCACTGTATTTTATTCATGGGTAATGCCTAGGGCAGAGATACCACTTAAATATGTGTGGCTATAGCCAAACACTGAAGCTCTGAGTTGTTGTTATGGCTACACACATGGAAATAATCTGCAATTGCCAGAATGCAAATTTCACTAACATTTCATATTAATGGACATAACACATGCACACACACAAAAAAAAATTTAAATTTATACTGTACGTACAAACTTTGTCTACCTGTGCATATTTTAACTAATGTGATTCAAGCAGTGACAACACAAATCAATCTTTGCAATGAGCTATTAAGATACTTAAAACTGTAGCAGTGAAATAATTTAAAAACTAAAATGATGCTCACAAAGAGGAGAAATTTAAGGGACTGTTTCTCAGATTTTTACCTTTTTTTCAAAAATTTTATATCACCCATTCTCAAAGGGTCTCTTTAACCTAGGGGTTATACAGTGACTGGGGAAATAGGAGGCAATCAGATTTGATCTTGGGATCAAATATTGATCTAATTTGACTTTAACAATAAACATACATTAAGCACTGCAACCAATTTTAGCTTTTTGATATATTGATAATCATGTATTAAAATTTAATGCAAACTGATACTTATAATACACTTTCAATTTTTAGTAATCACTAATTATTAATGCAAGAGGAAAAACTGCATGAGACAACAAAAGGAAGACTGGTTTTTCATGTTTCTAACTACAGGTGAAGTCCTCTTCAACAAATATACAAGAAGGAGAGAGACCAGGTATTTATAGTTGTAGGGAGAGTGGGTGGTTTCTTGCTGAGTGGATCATCTTGTTGTTGAGGCAGAACTTTAAAGTGCTTAATGACATCTCATAGCGGGCTCCTCTTTTTAGGGTCATGAATGTATTCAGATGACACCTCTGCCTAGAAAAAATTAACTCTGTGGCACTTGAGGTATGCTCAAGGCATATTATTTTAAGAAAAAGGTAGAGAAAATATAAACTAGAAAGAGAGAGATGCTCCTTATACAGTTGTTGGTGAAGAATCACAGAGCTGCTGAAAGGGGCCAGCATATCTGAAAAACGAAGGGAGGCACTGGGCAGAGAAATAGCAAATATTGAACTTAAATTTAAAGAATCATACAGAAGACAAGAAACTCAGGAACAACTAAAAGTCATAAATGAAACTGAAAAAGGACCAAAATATTTCTTTTTTTATGCCAAATCAAAGGCCAACACAACATCCAATATTGGACCCTTGCTTAAACAAGACAGGACCTGCACAGCTGACAGCAAGGAAATGAGTGAGATATGGCCCAGTATGACTCAGTGTTCATTGAGCCATTAACCAGACTGAGTCGACAACCTAAATTAATTTTTATGATTGAGACTCAGAATCTGGTCAATTCAAACACCTCTGATATTATACTGACACCACATGACTCCAAAAAGGCAATAAATGACATGCCCATGCACTCTGCCCCAGGCTCAGACTAGTGGAACTCCATGTTCATCAAGAACTGCAAGAAGCCCCTATCATGTTCCTTTAGCATTCTATGGAGAGGGAGCATGGACACAGGGATCATCCCAGTCACTTACAACAACAGACACAGCCCAATTCCACAAAGAAGGCATAAAGCAATAGCAAAGAATTACAGACCAATAATGCTAACATCTCATATCATAAAAATCTTTGAAAAGGATCTAAGAAGCAAGATTTCCACCCATCTAGATACCCATCAGTTACACAACCCAGGGCAACATGGGTTTAGAGCAAGCCACTCCTGCCTGTCCCAACTACTGGATCACTAGGACTTTGCTAAAATATCATCTTATCTCTCAATATTAACCAAATCAACCAAAACATCTGCTAATTAGTTTTACTATGTAACCTCTAGGCTTTTAATTCTGCCAATTCATAAAATATTACCACCTGAACCATTACTTGTAATATAGACTTTGTGTGTAATTTCAAGATTATTTAATAGAACCTTACTCCACCTTACTACACACATGTTTAAATAAGATTGTTTAAATAAGATTGTTAAACAGTTAACCACTACTTCTTGTCTAGTTTTAAGTATAGTTACTATGTATTAGGATTAGTCTGCCCAAAATGCCCCAGCATGATAGTGGCTATCTTTGTACTTTGCAAATCAAAATTGTAATTATACATTGTAACTTTTACAAAGAAATAAACTTTATCTTATCTTATCTTATCTAAGGTCTTGGATGCTCTAGAGGACAAACAAAATGCAGATGTAGTATACACAGATTTTGCAAAAGCCTTTGACAAATATGACCAGGGTGTAATAGCATACAAAACACGTGAAAAATGAATAATGGGAAAAGTTGGTAGATGGATCTATAGCTTCCTAACAAATATAACACAAAGAGTAATAGTAAACAGAGTAATGTCTGAGGCAGCCACAGTGAAAAGCTCTGTTCCACAAGGCACAATACTCACTCCCATCCTGTTTCTCATCCTCATGTCTAACACCTGAGTTTGCATGACAGTGTTCTCCAATGAAGACACTGTAAGACTCCATGCGGATGTCAACCAAATCTTTAACTGGGCCACAGAAAACAATATGAAGTTCAATGAAGAAAAATTTCAATTACTCCGATATGGAAAACCTGAGGAAATTAAAACTGTATCGGAGTATAAAGCAAATTGTAACGACACAGTAGAGCGAAAAATTAATGTGAAGGACCTGGGAGTGATAATGTCAGAGGATCTCACTTTCAAAGATCACAACAATGTATCCACCACATCTGCTAGAAAAATGATGGGATGGATAATGAGAACCTTCAAAAGTAGGGATGCCAAGCCCATGATGATTCTCTTCAAACTGTTTGTTCTCTCTAGCCTGGAATACTGCTGTACACCAACGGCGCCTTTCAAGACAGGTGAAATTGCTGACCTGGAGAGTGAACAGAGCGTTCATGACATACATAAGTATGATAAAACACCTAAATTACTGGGAATGGTTTAAGTTCTTTGACTTGTATTCCCTGGAATGCAGGTGGGAAAGATACATGATAATATACACCATGAAAATCCTAGAGGGATTAGTACCAAATTTGCACATGACAATCACTCCCTACAAAAGCAAAAGACTCTGCAGGCAGTGCAACATCCCTCCCATGAAAAGCAGGGGTGCCACTAGCATGCTAAGAGATAACACAATAAGTGTCAGGGGACCCAAGACTGTTCAACTGCCTCCCAGCATACATAAGGGGATTACCAACAGACCCCTGGCTGTCTTCAAGAAGGCATTAGACAGGCACCTACAGTAAGTACCTGACCAGCTGGGCTGTGGCTCATACGTCAGTCTACATGTGGCCAGCAGTAACAGCCTGGTTAATCAGGCCCTGATCCACCATAAGGCTTGGTCACAGACTGGGATGCTGGGGCGTTGACCCCCAAAACCCTCTCCAGATATATTTTCAAGATACAGAAAATCAACTAAATTATGTTTCCACCAATGCCTTCTCTGTCAATGGAGTATTCTCATGTTATACCTATTGTTTAATGGGTATAACATGAGCAGCCCACTCTCACCAGTGCCGTGTAGTTTATGTAAGGAACACTTTGAATCAATTATACTTCTCAAAATCAAACTACTAGGTATGATTTAGTTTTGATATGAGGATGATATATTTACTGTCCATTTACTTAATCTTTTAGTGCTCATAATTAAAGTATGCTGGCTTCCACTCTAAAACCATGACCACAAAACAGACCATCCGTTGCTCTTTAGAACATCTTCAAACATCTAGGAAGTGATAAACACACATTCTTCAGGGTTTCCTGGGGTGAAGTGTCTCCTCCCCCCCCAACCTGAGGACGGCTTTCTAATGCCGTGAGAGTGGACTGATATCCATCCCCTAATAGTTCTCTATCATAGGCTAGAGGATCTCAATGGGGTTCAAGTCTGGGGAATATCCTGACCAGTTATTGAAGAAGGGTACCTCACAAGCAGGAAGCATCTGAACAATAGATTTCATGGTGTGGTAAGGAACACTGTACTGCATAAAAACCTAGCAACACACTGTACAAAAGACTGAGGCAAATGCTAACAAATCAATTCTGGGTACATTTGACAGATAACATTACTGAGGACATTTATGAGGTTTCTCTTGATGTGCTTTTGATGTGGACATCATTAACACTGTCCTTAAGGAACCAATGCAACCACGTCCTCACTGAATGCTCACACACAATAGTGACTTCTACTCCTTCTTTCATTTGATGGCCTGCTTTGTGCAATCTGATGATCGTCACAATTGTCTCTTACATCAGTGACTTAATCCTGCCCATATTAATTTGTCAAGAGCCAATAATATCAGACAAACTCAGCCCTCAAGCTCACAAGGTGCACGGGTACCACAGACACAAAACCATCCTCCATACAAGCTTAGAAGACACTTAAGATGCAGCCCGTAGCCTTAGGAAATCCTGAAACATCCCACTTCAAATTGAAAGGCCAACATAATTTTTGTCTCACTGACAAGCATATCAACATGGGACATTACATTGGACACTGAGTTATGCTGGTGCCTTTCACCCAACATACTTTTAATGACAAGCACTGTAGCACTATCCATCAAATTCAAAGCAGAATGGGAAAAACATAAACTATTAATAAATTATCTTTTTTTAATGTGTTAGTTATCAAAAATGACGAAAGCTTGGAATTCACAGTGAACAGAAAATTCACACACACTGCCAATTACATCCATTTATTCAGTCAACACTCTTCAAAAATAAAGAAAATCAGTTTCCAACCTTTACCCAGCCTCCTTCGGAGTGTGAACAAGAAAAGCCTAGCATGGGACAGCATGCCCATTGTAGTGCTCTTCCATTTTTTTTTTGTTCTAAACATCTTATGTTACATAAGTCTCACAATCCCAATTAAGATAAGTCCAACATGAAAGGTCACCTGAACAGCTTCATGTCTCTAAAGAGGCAGTCTACTATGAGATGCCATCAAGCACCTTGAAAATTCAAGAAGCTCCACCCTAATGTGATGCCCCACTCAACTGGCAAAAAATCACCCTCTCCCCCTACCCCTATAAATACCCGGTCTTTCTCCTCATTCCTTGGTATCTGCTGAAAAGAACCTCATCTGGAGGTCAAAATATACAGACAATCATTTTTTCCCAAATTTTCCCTCATGTAAGTTTTCCTTTCTCAATGATATTGTTATGTCAAATCAATATACTGAGTTCCAAATAATTATGGTGAATTAGTCATATAAAGATATTACCAATAAAAGTTGATGATCCTGTCCCAAAGAACCAATCAGTGTCATCATCAATGCCATTTTTGCCTTGTATTAACCAGCCAAGTGAAGTATCTTCTAATGATATGCGGTGGTAACCATCACACACTTCATCAGTCTCATCTTCACCAAATCCACAATGATCACCCATATCACATACATAGTCCTTTGATACACAAACCTAGTAAAATAAACAGATCATAAAAGAAAATATAACAGCTTTACAGATTGAGGTATGTTTCCAAGAAATCACAAATGATGATTTATACACAGCCTGACATTACTAATGGAGCTGGGGTGAGAATGAATGGAAGAGATTTAAACTCAGCTATTAAGCTAATATCCTGAAAGTGAAATTTGGCTGTAGTAACTATGTACAGTACAACTGTGCAGTGGATATTACAAGCAAGGCAGTTAAGAAAATTAGTGCTAAGTTGCAAAACAAAAAGCTAGAAACAGATTTGCTCTAGTCTCGGATTAGGTAGAGGAAAGTGCAAAGTGACTCATCTCTCACTTTGACCTGGCTTAGATGGGAAACTACTGCTGCATGACCTTCAACACTAGAATGTCGATAATTTTATTATCATGTACCAGATCAATCTTTGGACAGCTAGAAGACAGGCTATTATTTTGCAATACAGGAAGTCATTATTATTATTGTTACTAAATTCATATGAAGATGCTAAACTTGTAGTGTCACAAAGCAAGGTGTCCACCCTGGCTTCTCAAGGTCATCGCTTCATCAACTATCATTCATTTTTCAATGATCTGCATTTTAAACATGGTCTCACAACAAACAAATATTAAAGAAATCAGCTAAGTAATGAAAGCTCTGACATGGATGGCTCCAACCTCACCATGTAACCTAAGTATGTTACTCAATAATATATATATGGCACAGACCAATCCACCGACAAGTCCACTTCTATATATCTGAACACATTTATTTCTTCTATACTTTCTAAATATATAAACACATTTACCTCTTCCATACTCCCAATCTGAAATCTAATCTTTCATTACCTAAATTTTTTGTTACCTTCATTACTTTGTTCTTTCTTATATTCACTTTTAATTTCCTTTTTTTACATACCCTCTCAAATTCACCCATCAACTTCTGCAATTTCTCTTTAGAATTTCCCACAAGCACAGTGTCATTGGCAAAAAGCAACTGTTACAATTCCCACTTTATATTAGATTTTATGCATTTTAATCCTACACCTCTCCCCATCACACTAGCATTCACTTCTTTTATAACTCCATTTATAAATAAGTTAAACAACCAAGTCAACATCATACATTCCTGTCTAAGGCCTACTTTTACTGGAAAATAATCTCTCTCTTTTACATATCCTAACCTGAGCCTTATTATCTTTACAAAGACCCTTTAACTGCTTTCAGTAACCTGCCACCTATAACATACACTTGCAATATCTGCCACATTCCTTCCCTATCAACTGTATCATATGCCTTTTCTAAATCCATAAATGCAATGAAAACTTTCTTACTTTTATCTAACTATTGTTCACTTATATGATTCAATGTAAACACCTGGTCTATACATCACCTACCCTTCCTAAAACCTCCTTGTTCATCTGTGATCCTACTCTTTATTTTACTCTTAATTCTTTCAATATTAATGCTACTATACATTTTACCTGGTATATTCAAGAGTCTTTTTTTTTTTTTTTTCAACAAGTCGGCCGTTTCCCACCAAGGCAGGGTGACCCAAAAAAAAAAGAAAGAAAATCCCCAAAAAGAAAATACTTTCATCATCATTCAACACTTTCACCACACTCGCACATTATCACTGTTTTTGCAGAGGTGCTCAGAATACAACAGTTTAGAAGCATACACATATAAAGACACACAACATATCCCTCCAAACTGCCAATATCCCAAACCCCTCCTTTAAAGTGCAGGCATTGTACTTCCCATTTCCAGGACTCAAGTCCGAATATATGAAAATAACAGGTTTCCCTGAATCCCTTCACTAAATATTACCCTGCTCACACTCCAGCAGATCGTCAGGTCCCAAGTACCATTCGTCTCCATTCACTCCTATCTAACACGCTCACGCACGCTTGCTGGAAGTCCAAGCCCCTTGCCCACAAAACCTCCTTTACCCCCTCTCTCCAACCCTTTCGAGGACGACCCCTACCCCGCCTTCCTTCCCCTATAGATTTATATACTTTCCATGTCATTCTACTTTGATCCATTCTCTCTAAATGACCAAACTACCTCAACAACCCCTCTTCTGCCCTCTGACTAATACTTTTATTAACTCCACACCTTCTCCTAATTTCCACACTCCGAATTTTCTGCATAATATTTACACCACACATTGCCCTTAAACAGGACATCTCCACTGCCTCCAACCGTCTCCTCGCTGCTGCATTTACCACCCAAGCTTCACACCCATATAAGAGTGTTGGTACTACTATACTTTCATACATTCCCTTCTTTGCCTCCATAGATAACGTTTTTTGACTCCACATATACCTCAACGCACCACTCACCTTTTTTCCCTCATCAATTCTATGATTAACCTCATCCTTCATAAATCCATCCGCCGACACGTCAACTCCCAAGTATCTGAAAACATTCACTTCTTCCATACTCCTCCTCCCCAATTTGATATCCAATTTTTTCTTTATCTAAATCATTTGATACCCTCATCACCTTACTCTTTTCTATGTTCACTTTCAACTTTCTACCTTTACACACATTCCCAAACTCATCCACTAACCTTTGCAATTTTTCTTTAGAATCTCCCATAAGCACAGTATCATCAGCAAAAAGTAACTGTGTCAATTCCCATTTTGAATTTGATTCCCAAAATTTAATCCCACCCCTCTCCCGAACACCCTAGCATTTACTTCCTTTACAACCCCATCTATAAATATATTAAACAACCATGGTGACATTACACATCCCTGTCGAAGACCTACTTTTACCGGGAAGTAGTCTCCCTCTCTTCTACACACCCTAACCTGAGCCTCACTATCCTCATAAAAACTCTTTACAGCATTTAATAACTTACCACCTATTCCATATACTTGCAACATCTGCCACATTGCTCCTCTATCCACTCTATCATATGCCTTTTCTAAATCCATAAATGCAATAAAAACTTCCCTACCTTTATCTAAATACTGTTCACATATATGCTTCAATGTAAACACTTGATCTACACATCCCCTACCCACTCTGAAACCTCCTTGCTCATCCACAATCCTCCATTCTGTCTTACCTCTAATTCTTTCAATTAAAACCCTACCGTACACTTTTCCTGGTATACTCAGTAAGCTTATTCCTCTATAATTTTTAGTCTCTTTTGTCCCCTTTCCCTTTATATAAAGGGACTATACATGCTCTCTGCCAATTCCTAGGTACCTTCCCCTCTTTCATACATTTATTAAACAGAAGTACCAACCACTCCAACACTATATCCCCCCTATAATTTTTACACTCTCTTTTGTTCCCCTTTCCTTAATACAAAGGAACTTTGTATGCTATCTTTCCTCTCTTACATTTATTTACTAAACAAAAGTACTAATCACTCCAAAACTATATCCCACCTGCTTTTAACATTTCTGCCTTGATCATTATATAAAGCATAAATTAATTATAATATTAATATTCCTAAGACCAGGTTTGGAAAAAGAGCTAAAGATAGGATAACATCTCATGGCTTGTAAAATATATATAGAAACTCTTAGCCAAACTGCTGTAGAAGCCTAAATGTAAAAAAATGAATACAAACAGAAATAAAGATTAAGGTGCAGAGAGGAGAGAGAGAAGGCATCTACAATCTTACCATTGTTATGGGGCAGTGATAGAATGTTGGCTGACATTGTCCTTCTGTTGGAAATGGGTACTGACAGTTTTCAAAGTTAGTATTATCTATGGCAAATACTCCAGTATAGCCATCTTGTGGCTGAATGTTGAGGGATAACTGGAACATATCTTCTTGTCGACCGATGTTAACAGTTTGTAATGTCCACATATTTGCAAACTCAACGCTTTTGCTAAAATATGCTAATGTAGTGTAGTTATCCCTTGAGGAGTTTAAGTGAAGGAATAAGTCAGCCCCTATATCTTGCTCTCTGAAGTACCAGAATACATATATGCACTCTGGCCTGGTGTTCTGATACCAGTGTGTGAAGGATTGCCCAATCTGATGCTCTGGTAACCTTTGCTTTTCATTTAATAGAAAGAAATGGCCAGCTTTATTACCAGTTTGATCAGTAAATGGGCCAGTTTGATCTGTATTAGAATCTGTGTCATTAGCTTGACCTAAAATCCAGTTTAATTCATCATTTACAGCCTCTTCCCACCCACAGGTATCTTTTTCAAATGAACAGAAGTCAGGACACGTTTCTTCATCACTAAAGTCACTACAGTCATTTTTGAAATCACATACCTTTCTCTTTGAGATGCACCCTTGAGTAGGACAAAGGAATTCATATTCAGAGCAAAGTGTAGTTCTGCACTCTGTTGAAAAGGAGATGTCATCAATAGCAACATCTCCATCCACTTCTGCACCAGCCCAGCCTTCTATAACAATTTTATAGTACCTTGCATATATTACAGACAAATCTTCACGGATCCATAGATATTCACTAGAACCATTAGTCTGAAACAGTATTTCATCACTCCTTATTTTAGTTGGTTCTGTTTCCTGGACATAGATTCGTAGAGAGGCATTCTGATTATTCCTCATCATGTACCAAAACCTAAAGTGACAGCTTCCTGATGATGGGAGGAAAGGTGCACTCGATATTTTGGCATTCTTACCTTGTGAATCTTTGATGCTTTGCAGGTACATGTAAAAACCTGTCTCATTACTATAAGTATGGTCATAATCTGGTCCAACATCCTCATCAAGCATTTCACCAGTTCTGCGGACCCAGTCGAGGTCATCTTCCATATCTTGTGTCCAATGGCAAAAGTCAGTTTCAAAGTTGCATCTTTCAGGATATAACTGACAGGTATCAGGGGACTCATCTGACCAGTCCCCACAATCATCACTGTAGTCACAGATTTGACTCTCATTAACACAGACACCATTGTTGCAAGGAAACTGGCCATTTTTACATGCAGATGGGGTAGGAAGAACACAGTTTTCAAAGTGAATATCATCAATCAAAATATTCCCACTAGCATCAAGGTTGCTTGCTCTAAATCGCAGCTTCCAACCAGGATCATGTGCCAATATACCCACTGTCTGGTTCTGCCATATTTCACCCATGTCTTCAAAGATATACCATAAAGTAAGCTCCACATCATTTACCAACAGATAAAGTTGAAGGGTTGCAGCTTCTCCACCATGTTTGTAGTAATAAAAATTCATTATACATGAGGTGTCTGCAGTTCCCAAGCTAAAAGTTTCAAAGTCTGCTATATCACTTATACCTTCACCAAGATGAAGTATTTTTGCTGCATAACCATCATGGCCATATGGTGATCCCATTGCCCGGACCCAGCGAATTGATCCATAACTTATATCTGACCAACCACACTGGTCTACTTCAAAATTACACTCAGCACAATGAGATTCATCACTGTTATCCCCACAATCATCCTTGAAATCACATGCCTCTGACCGAGGGACACAGTTGCCATTTATACAACGAAAAGCATTCTGACAATGCTTTTCAGTTGTTGAAGTAATAGGAACTGTCGCTGTAGGCAAAGTTTCATTAGAAAGCATACAATCTTTACTAAAGGAAATATCATCAATGGCAATGACTGATACTGTTCCACTTGTGTAATTTAAGGTGGTACTGGTAATAATAAATTCTATTAGCTTACTTGCATCCTCATTTGGGGGAGTGACCTCTACACGTTCCCAGTATTGCCCAATGGGTCCTGATATTATTTTCATGTCTTTTTGTATTCCATTCAAAGATTCTCGAACTGACACTACTAGTTTGTCCACTGAAGGTCCATCACAGTAATAATAAAACCTTAAATGACATAGTACTGAAGGGACACTGATTACAGGACTGGTTATTATGCCTTGTGCAGCTTCGTTCTGATTGCTGCTGCTTTCAATGTAGATGAAGGAACCTAGAGCTGAATTCAGGGTATGATCACGTGATGGAATAATATCTTGAGTGCTTGGTGAACCAATCTTCCAACTGCTATCTTCTTCAACTTTCCAATCGCATGATGAACCATCCTCAAAATTACAACGCCCCACATATTCATTACATCTAGCTAGAGTAATATCTTCATCTGAGTTATCCCCACAGTCATCTACAAAGTCACATTCGTTAAAAATTGAGATACAAGCTTGATTGCTGCAGACAAAATCTTCACACATTTTCATTTGTGGTGAAGGCAGGAAACATTCTTCAAAACTGATATCATCCACTGCCATGTAACCGTCAACATTTAAATTCTTGTTACCTTCAAATTGGACTATAAATTCAGAGCGTATTCTTCCTAAGTATGCTATTCCATACAACCATTCTTCTCGCTGATTAGCATAAATCTCTAATAATAGAGTGGTGATATCACTTACAGTGTAAGAAATCTTCAAGATTCCTACGTCATTAGAAGACTGCTCCTCAGTTGTTTCATATGCCATGTACCAGAAATACATGCGACATTCAGCAGCTGAATTATGCAGGTATGGGCTCATAAAGATGGGGCTGCTGAAGTCTCTGTGATTTAGTGTCTTTGGAGACACTGCCATATAGTGACCAGCACCAGTCTGTTTTGTGTGATCTATTGGAGGCCCATAAGTGTTATTAGACTCTTGACCCTGAAGAAGCATCCAGGACAATTCCCCATCTGTTGCTACACTAGTCCAAGTGCAATAGTGTTCATCTTCTACTTCAAATGTACAGTTGTAGCCACAGAGATTTTCATCTTGCCCTTGGCTACAGTCTTTAACAAAGTCACACATTTGTTCTGGTTTTATACATTTATCTGCATCACAAACAATGGTACAGTCTGGAATAGTACCATTGGTACAACTGTTAGGCATTATATTCACTTGATCTAAGGCAATAATGCCTTTCTTTCCTTTGTCAGAAACTCCAAAAAATTGTAATGTAGTAGCAGATCTCGTCACATTTATGGTCACTTGTGAAAACTTCCAGTCGGCTTGAATAACATAATTTTGCTCCCAAACAACTAATCTATCTCCATATAACAAATTTTCTATTATAAGAGTAATGCTATGGTTGCCCAATCCTTGCAGATGAAACCAAAAGCTTACGCACCACACACCTGGTAATAAATCAGTGAGCAAAAGTGCACTAGACTCAGAGCTCATGCTAGCTGTATCAAAATATATATATCCCCCATATGCAGAACGAAAAGTAACATCAACCTTTGGTGCATATGGAGTGGAAAGTTGGTCACCAGTTGTCAAGGACCAATCTGAGGAAACTCCAGCCTCTACATTTCTCCATATGCAAAAGTCTGTCTCAAAATTACACTCCAACAAGGCCTCACAGGTCATCAGTGGCTGTACATCATCAAGGCCAATAATGGAGTCTAAGTACGACTGACCTTCAAAACCAAGGGAATAATAGGATGTACTCTCCACAGGGAGTCTGTATAAATTCCACTCATCACTGAAGATGCCTGAAATTGTAAGGATTGGATCATTTTCCATTACATCATCTATGCATTTGTACACTTTAAGTACTGCTTGTTCCATGTAAATATTGCCTTCACAATAAAGCCAAAATTGGATACATTTAAACATAGGATGAAATTTATTGGAGTATATAAGGGCAGAGCCCTCTCCATACAACTTTAAATAATGACCAAATGATGTTTGCCTAGAGTGATCTTTCAATGGACTCCTATCCTCTTCCCCTGAAGATGTAGAAGATACCCATTGCCAGTCAAGATCATCTTCAAGTGACTGCTCATAGTTGCAAATTCCTTCTTCAAAGTCACAGAGATTGTCTGCATTACAAGCTCTAAAATCAAGTATAATATCATCTATTGCAATATCTCCCTTTCCTGACATCTTAGGTGTAGCTCTAAGTACTATGCAGAAGCTGGAATTTGAATGCTCTAAGTACACCTTGGCCTGTAACCAGTCAGTTCCTTGCTCATGTGAACGATGCCAGGCAGATGTATTCACATTTGTGCCACTAAACTGTAGATCCACATTCAGATCACCAATATTAGGGCCATGCATGTGATACCAGAAAGACAGACATGCTCCTGTAAATCCAACCTGTATGGGTATGCTTATTAGTTCAGCAGCATGTTTTAATTGGTTTGCTGTGCCGATATACATGTAGTGTCCATCTTCTGTCACTGTAGTGTGATCTGTGCTTGGTCCTGTCTCCTCTGTTGGAGTTGGTCCTTGATTTCGCTTCCAGTCAAGGCCATCTTCTGCATTCTGAATCCATCCACAGGTTTGACTATCATCTTGTTCAAAGTCACAGTCATATATTGAGGGTTGATGGGTGGGTGGTTGTGTGGTAATAAAGGAGGATATGTAGAGATATCACAATCTTTTGCAAAGGCAATGTCATCTATAGCAACAGCATCATTTTCCAATAACATAATATTTTCATCTACTACAATTCTGATCATTACTTGGTAGGAGTCAGCTATCACATCAGGCACTGTTCTTACTTCTTCCCAGATATACTCAGAGGTTGAGTTGTGAAGCTCCACCAGCAATATGTTATCAGGCTCAACTAGTATTACAACACTTAATGTAGCATTTACTATATTTTGCATTGAATACCAAAATGTCATACACTTGAAGCTAGAAGAAATATGACTTCCAAAAAATTTAGCAACATCACCTTTTAACTTGCCTGAAAGTTTTGCTACCATGTAGTAGCCAGTTTCAAAGTTTATGGTGTGATCTACAATAATACCACCACCTTCACTTCCTGAAGATCTCACCCAGTCAAAAGTGTCTTCACCATTAATGTTGAACCAATCACAAAGGTCATATTCAAAGTCACATTTGTGATCTGGCAGACAGGAATCAGGAATAAATTCAACGTCATCAATTGCAATGATAGTTTCACTATTTAATTCAATTATTCCTTCAATACCTATAGAATAATTATGCATATTAAACACAGTTACTGCTTCAAGTGTCCATATTTCATATGTTTTGCCCTGAAATGTCCAGATAGGCATATAGTCAGGATTATCTTCTTCCATTACATATATTAACAGTGAGGCAGGATTTCCTCCTAGCATGTGGAGCCAAAACCTGAGACACTGAACTCCAACATTATCATAAAATGGTGAGACAAGATAAGCAAAGGCATCAGAGGAGCTTATTGGTTTGAGATAAGCATAGTAACCCATTTCACTGTTTGTTGTATGATCTACTGGAGGTGCATTAGGTATGTGTTCTTCTCCACGAGTCCTCTCCCATTTTGTTGTACCTTCTGACCCAGCAGACCACTGACAGAAATCTACTTCAAAATCACATTTTGGTGAATTAAGCCTTGTAACTATTTCTACATCATCTACAGCTAGCATTCCTGGTCCAATCTCTCCCCATTCAGCCTCTAAAACCATTGAAAAATCATCATCACCCTCAAGTTCTACTTCTATTAACATCCATCTATCTTCTTGAGAGTCTTCCAACTCAAAATACGTTTTAATTTCTCCAAGAGTTTTCTTTCTCTGAATTATTCTAAATGCTCCAACATTTTCACCATAGAAATAATACCAGAGTGTAAAAGTCTTGTTTGTGACTGTTATTCTGGACTGAACAGTACTAACTAGTATTGCCTTGTCTCCATTTTTAGCCATTTTATCACTGAAGTCTACAAAGATATAATATAACTTTCCTGTGGTGTGATCATGAAGCTCTTCTGGAAACATCTCATTATTTTTCCAATCTTGTTGGTCATCATAAGATTGTTGCCACATGCAGAAACCATGATTAAAGTCAGGGTTATCAAAGTTACAATTCATTCCTACAAGGTCAAAATTGCAGTTGAATAATTCAAAATCATCAACAGCAAGTACAGAATGAGAATCTGCCCATTCAGCAGCTTCATCAAATACCGGAGTTGCTTCTAAAGAAAAATGATAATGTGATAGTACAGTTGGTGTTGGAATAATTATATTATACCATTGTCCTTCATATAGAAATGGTGCTGAAAAATTGTAAAGCAAAATATGAGTACCAAATTGTTCATTGTCCAAAAAGAAAGCAAGATGGACATTTACACTCTCCTTCTGATAAAGCCACATATGAAATTCACAATAATAGCCTCCATCATTTAAAAGCTTTGAGCTACTTAACACTGCTGTTTTTCCTGTCACACCATTTGCCTCTGTGAGATACATATAATGACCAGTGTTGGTTCCATAAGTGTGGTCCACGTATGGGTGGTCATAAAGAGAAGGTTCACCAGCACGCAAACGCTTCCATGAAAACACTCCCTCGCTAACATCAGTCCAAGAGCAGGTACCAGACTCAAAGTCACAATTTCCACAGTCAGTTTCATCAGCGCCATTCGAACAATCTGTCTCCCAGTTACAAAGACGACTATTTGGGATACATTCATTAAAAATACCACAATAAAATTCATTCTCACTACAAGGATTATAAGGAGGTGAAAGTGTAGTGCCTTCTGGGAGTGTATCATTCACAAGATTACAGCCAAATGAAAATGACAGGTCATCAATTGCAATGTCAGTATAATCTGAACTTCCAGTAATCCCTTCAATGATGAATTGGAATGATTGAGTTGATGAAGTTGTAGCAATTCCACGATCCCAGAACTGTCCTTGTTCTCCGCTCCTACTAAAGGCCAAAGTTTTTGAACCATACAGAGTCCATCTTACATATACGTTCAATGTTTGAATATTCTGGCCGTACATGTAGTAATGAAACCTCAAAACACAGCTCGTCTCACTCTGAGCTTGCAGGACTGGGCTGATGAACCAACTACGCTTAGTGATGATATCTTTTTCATGTGCTACCACAGGATTCTGAGTAACATACAGATAATGGCCCACTGTAAGTCGAGTCGTATGGTCTACTGAAGGCCCTGTCATATGGTTCTCACGACCAGCTGGAGTGGAACCAGATCCTTGCTCCCAATCTAAGGATTAAGACAAAATTTATTAATGAAAGTGAAAAGACTTACCTAAATTTAGCCAAAGTTAGGTGTGAAAGCTAACTTTTTATACTGGTTCATCAAGAAATTTTCATAGGAGGAAATGTGTTAAATATTTTACAAAATATAGAATTATCTTACAGCAGCTTAATATTTTTAAAGGATAATTATTTTTTTAATTTCATAATTGAATTCAGTAACTGTAAGCCATGTGCAATATAATAAGTTTTATTATCTGAATTATGTGGATGGGATCCTGATCAGAAACTAATGTATGTTATTACAGATTTATCTGAGCCAGTATCCTGAATCACACTGATTTACACATTTTGAATTCAATAAATTTACCATCCAAAACCAGAACAATATTATAAAATAAATAAAAAAAAAATACCATTTTACTTTTTGCTAAGGTTACAATGTGTGTTTACATTTCATAATTTCATTGGTACGAAGAAAGCCAATATCATGCTGAGGCATTTTGGGCAGACTTAGCCTAATATGTACTTAAAGACTACTTAAGTCTAGACAGGTGAAGAGTGGTAGATTACAAATGCTGTATTCAATATTTTACTATTATTAATATGAGGTAGCACAATTTACGATCTAGACATATATTTTGAAGTTTGTAATTAAGTTTGTTTACTCTATTATTAATATGAAGTAGTACAATTAATGATACAAACATACATTTTTAAGTCTGTAATAATGGCTTAATAGTAAAGGGATAATAAAATATTTGGGAGAGTTGCTTTAAATTTGGTTAATGCGGGTAAGGTTGTTACTGAGAGATGAGATGATTTTTGAGTATGGTCCTACAGTGATTTGTGGGCAGGAGAGATCTTGCTGTTTCAGGCAAAGAGTTCCAGATCTTTGGGCCCTTTATGTGCATTGCATTTTTGCATAGTGTCAGATGGACAAGAAGGAACTCAAAAAGTGTTCTGTGCCTTGTGTTATGTCTGTGTGTTCTGTTGTAGCTGCCTAGAAGTTTGAGTGGAGGGTTGATATTGAAGTTTAATGTTCTGTATATATAGTAGGCTCAGTAATAAGTGTGCATATTTTGCATATTACGTTCAAGCTTTTGAAAAGTAGTGGGATATGTTGTCTGGTGCTGGAGTTAGTAATCATCTGCACTGTGGCTTTTTGTTGGGTTATTCAAGGTTTAAGATGATTGGCCGTGGTAGACCCCCAGGCACAAATACCATAGGTGAGGTAAGGGTATATCAAAGAGTGATATAAAGTAAGGAGTGTCCTTTGGGGTACATAGTATCATATCTTGGAAAAGATACCTACTGTTTTGGAAACTTTCTTAGTTATATGCTGGATGTGGGTCTGAAATTTAAGATTACAGTCAAGGTGGAGACCTAGAAATTTGCCCTTAGTATGTCTTGCAATGGGTGAACCATTTATTGATATGTTTAGCTGGATATTTAATGCTCTGTTTCCAAAAAGCATGAAGTAGATTTTGTCTATATTGAGAGTAAATTTGTTGTTAGTCATCCAGTTTGATATTTTATGTAGCTCGCTGTTTACAGTGTTACTAAGTATAGCCGGGGTTGGGGGAAGAAGACGTAAGTGGTCTCATCTGTGAACAGAACTGGTTTAAAGAGTCATGATGCATTTGGGAGGTCATTGATGTAAATAAGAGTAGAGGACCTACGACACTTCCCTGTGGCACTCCAACAACTACAGGCAGAGTATTGGAGGTCATGCCATTTGTGTATAAATACTGGTGTCTACCACTAAGATAAGATTTTAGGTAACTGAGAGTGTCTTCTGACCTATAATGTTCTAGTTTTAGGTGCAAGATATTGTGGTCTACTGTATCAAATGCTTTCCGTAGGTCTGTGAAGAGCTCCAGAGGATGTTCATTTTTTTCAATTGCTGTACATACAGCCTCTCCTCACTTAACGATCGAGTTTCATTCTTGAGACCACGTCGTTAAACAAATTCGTCGATAAGTGAAGAGCATATTATAATTGTAGTAAGTTTGTGTCAACCATCTTTGATATTGTTTTATTGTCACCTTTGCACCATTTATAACATTTCTGGTATATTTTGAAATGTTTAAACAGTAGTGTACTGTATATTGAAATAAACAGAATAGAGAAAATCAGCTCTAATATACATTATTTAGGTATGAATACTGGTCAGAGAGCCTGTCGTAAGTCCAAGGCATCGGTAAACGAGTACGTGGCTAAGTGAGGAGAGGCTGTATATAGTAATTCGAGCATCTGAATAATTGCATCCTTCGTGCCTTTTTTTCAGCCTAAACCCATTGTCTTTTGATTGTCCTTTTTAACCCTTTGACTGTTTCGGTTGTATATAGTACGTATATGTCTTACGAGCCACTGTGTTTGACGTATTAATATGCATAAATTCTAGTGGTTTCAAATCAAGCAGGAGAAAGCTGGTAAGCCCACATGTGAGAGAATGGGTCTCCATGGTCAGTGTGCATCATACAAAAAAAAAACAGGGAGCCAGTGGTGCATTGTGGGAATGTCATTTCAGTAGTCCTTGTTCAGCATGCCTAGCAGTAAGAAATATGTGACTCCCCAGCAAATCTGGGACTCTACTCTTCCCAAGTGATGCCCTAACACAGATGGAAGTGTCAGTGAAGATCAATTTCATGGTTCTGAGGAGTTTGTGACCAAAAGCAATGCCCAGGATACCAGAAGAATGAAGGAGAATGAGAATGAAGGAAAATGAGAGAGAATGAGAGAGAGAATGAGGGAGAGAATGAGAGAGAGAATGAGAGAGAGAATGAGAGAGGGAATGAGAGAGAGAATGAAAGAGAATGAGAGAGAGAATGAGAGAATGAGGGAGAAAGATAATTAGATAGTAGGATGGAGGGGAAGCAAGCATCTGACCCCATTGTTTTGACAGGTGGTAGGGGGATTGAGTAATGAGACAATATGTCATTTTGACAGCTGCCGACCCTGACTCTGAACAGTTAGAAGTCTACACACTTACAACACAAGCTTGAAGATAATAGCTGTTATATGAAAGTATCCAGTGACTATATATGTGTATATATATATTATAGAAACAAGAAGGAAGAAAGGAAGGCAGGAAGGAAGGAAGGACGAGATGAAAGGAAGGAAGGAAACAGTAAGGAAGGAAGAAGGAGGGAAGGAAGGTAAGAAAGGAATGCAGGAAGTTAGGAAGGAAGGAATGATGACATGCAACAATTTACCAAAGATAACTACCTAACACAACTGCCTGCTAATGTACTTTGAAGAAAACTGCTCAGACGAGGTGTTTTGTCTTTGCACATAAAAAATAAAATGCCCACAAAAATGCAGACACACTTGTTTTATGTGTGAGGAGTGTAAAACACCATTGTGTATGAAACCATGTTTCGAAGAGTTCCACAAGCTACAGAACTTCTAGGAACATGTCCAGTGACTGTACATTTGGTGTATATATATATATATATATATATATATATATATATATATATATATATATATATATATATATATATATATATATATATATAATATATATATATATATATATATATATATATATACTGGAGTTTACCTGGAGAGAGTTCCGGGGGTCAACGCCCTCGCGGCCCGGTCTGTGACCAGGCCTCCTGGTGGATCAGAGCCTGATCAACCAGGCTGTTGCTGCTGGCTGCACGCAATCCAACGTACAAGCCACAGCCCTGCTGGTCAGGTACCGACTTTAGGTGCTTGTCCAGTGCCTCCTTCAAGACAGCCAGGGGTCTATTGGTAATCCCCCTTATGTATGCTGGGAGGCAGTTGAACAGTCTTGGCCCCCTGACACTTATTGTGTTGTCTCTTAATGTGCTAGTGACACCCCTGCTTTTCATTGGGGGGATGTTGCATCGTCTGCCGAGTCTTTTGTTTTCATAGAGAGTGATTTTCGTGTGCAAGTTTAGTACTAGTCCCTCTAGGATTTTCTAGGTGTATATAATCATGTATCTCTCCCGCCTGCATTCCAGGAAGTACAGGAACTTCAAGTGCTCCCAGTAACTGAGGTGTTTTATCTCCGTTATGTGTACTGTGAAGGTTCTCTGTACATTTTCTAGGTCAGCAATTTCACCTGCCTTGAAAGGTACTGTTAGTGTGCAGCAATATTCCAGCATAGATAGAACAAGTGACCTGAAGAGTGTCATCATGGGCTTGGCATCCCTAGTTTTGAAGGTTCTCATTATCCATCCTGTCATTTTTCTAGCAGATGCGATTGATACAATGTTATGGTCCTTGAAGGTGAGATCCTTTGACATGATCACTCCCGTTAGTTTTTCGCTCTATTTTGTGGCTGGAATTTGTTTTATACTCTGATAAAGTTTTAATTTCCTCATGTTTACCATGTTGAACTTCATATTGTTTTCTGCAGCCCATTGAAAGATTTGGTTGACGTCCGCCTGGAGCCTTGCAGTGTCTGCAATGGAAGACAGTGTCATGCAGATTCGGGTGCCATCTGCAAGGAAGACATGGTGCTGTGGCTGACATCCTTGTCTATGTCAGATATGAGGATGAGAAACAAGATGGGAGCGAGTACTGTGCCTTGCGGAACAGAACTTTTCACGGTACCTGCCTCAGACTTTACTCTGTTGACTACTACTCTTTGTGTTCTGTTCGTGAGGAAATTATAGACCTATCTACCAACTTTTCCTGTTATTCATTTAGCACGCATTTTGTGCACTATTACGCCATAGTCACACTTATCGAAGGCTTTTGCAAAGTCTATGTATATTACATCTGCACTCTTTTTGTCTTCTAGTTCATCTAGGACCTTGTCGTAGTGATCCAATAGTTGGGACAGACAGGAGCGACCTGCTCTAAACCTATTTTCATCTTGGTTGTGTAATTGTGAGAGGGGAATTATTTCCCGGTAAAAGTAGGCCTTAGACAAGGATGTGTGATGTCACCATGGTTGTTCAATATATTTATAGATGGAGTTGTAAGAGAAGTGAATGCTTGGGTGTTGGCAAGAGGTGCAGGGTTAAG